CAGAAGGAGGACGAGGCGTTTTCTTGGGGGGAAGGTAGTCTTGGCCTGGCGACCCAGGGATTCGAAGATAGGAGATCGGGGCTCCGGAGAGGGACAAAACGGCAGCCACTAACGAAGCGCCGCCAACGTCTCAGCGATGCTGTTTGCTGATTTTCTTGTGGGCAGCCCTCGCTGACTGCAAATACCCTTTGGGTATAGAGGGCATATCAGTCTTGTTTTTGAAAGAATATGTACTTGCTAATTTAAAATGTGTTTAATAATTTGATAAAAATTCCATTAACTGCTAAACTTATAAACAATTTATAATAATTTTTGAATATTAAACCTATTCTATAATTTCCTTTCAATAGAAACTAAAAAACTCAAGTACCTGATTCTATAAGTAATGTCTCCTTTATCCATAAGGGTATCTGTCGTATCACCATTATCTGTTTGGACTTCTTCTGGCCTTTTTTTTTTGGGATCTATGGCTCTTGGCTGTGGCTCTCTTTGGCAGGTGCAGTTTGCAGTTTGCAGTTGGCTGTTTGCATTCGCTCCTCCGCCGTGGCCGCTGTGTTGTTGCTCATTAGTTTTTTTCCCTGCTGCCACAGAGTCTACGTCTGTTACCATTTTGGGCTGGCTGGGAATCGGGCGCTGGATTAGCCAGGTAAAGGCAGCAGGTACGGTAAGGTAAGGAGGGGTAGCCGCCAAAAGGAAAATCGAAATGTTTTGCCGTGTGTGCAGTGTGGGAAAACTTTTATTTCAAGGTTCAAAAGACGCCCGCAGAGTGTGAAAAATGGCTAAAACAAAAAGCCAGACTCTGAGCCAGAGCTGGAGCTGAAGCTGAAGCTGGAGTTGAAGCTAAGGCCAGAGAGGTATATATATTATATAGTGGCGATTTTAACTGCTGCGGCTGCCCCCACGGCGTATGCGCAATGCCATAAATCCAATGTGACTCGTCGGTGGCCCAAAATGTATTCCTCCAATCCGGAGTCAAAGTTGGTCAAATGATGTGGCCCAGAAAGCGAACGGTTCATGTGTGAAAATCGCTAGACACGGACACGGATACGCAGCCATGTTGTTTCATAATTATAAGTTAAATACGACAGTTTCATATAAAAATCAACTAGTAAATCAACGTAAGCGCGCCTGGCAATTAAGTGGCCAGAAACGTAACACACGCCGATGGTGGTGGTGTGGTGGCTCTCGGTGGTGGTGTTTTCTGGTGGTGCTTGGCCAAGCACGTCGCCAAGTTGGGCCCGGGTTCGAGTTCGACATCGGAATTGGACTTGCAGAGCTCGAGCCGAGCCGAGCCAAGCCGGGCCAAGCCAAGCCAAGCCAACTCAGCCAAGCGAACTGTCAATTATAACCAATCGCACACCAAGTGCACATTAAACCCTATCAACTGTTTTTGTAATTTATTGTTCGCTGGGGTTTTTTCTCTCTCCCCATCTCCCCAACGCGTCTGCTTCTCATTTCTAAAGTTGCAAGCTTTGCAGTCGCATTTGGTGCGAGATCCGCATTGCACATTGCACACAGTGCAGGTGAACAGTGGTCTGAGATTGGTGAATATATTTGTATGCATATTTCTAAGTTCTATAATATTTTAAATAGATTTTTATTGAGGTTTGCACCGCTTCCAAGGCAGTTTGAAGAACTTAAGGTCTTCTGAGCTCTTACATATATTTGTTGTATTTTTTTTTTAATTTAATCCTCTTTCATATCAGCTTTAAGGACTTAATCCTGCCACTAAAAATAAAGTACCTAAACTTGTGTAATTTTTGTGATTGAAACCCACTGTTCCCTATACTTCTGGCGATGACTACTTTTCTTGGCTTGGTCTGTAGACGATCTGGCCTCATCATAATTATCGCTGACTGGGGCGGCACGTTCGACTACGCACACTCTTAGAGAGGGGCTACCATAGGGGAAGAGGCTCCTTTTGGAGAGGGAATACTGGGGGTTACTGGCGAACTGCTCAACGTAAATCTAGCAAAGTCAAATGAGCAGTTTATGGCCACAGCGACGACGACGACGACGACGACGACCATTTGAAGACGCGCCAAAGGAGCATGAGATGGAGGAGCCTGTCTATATAGCATCGCATCGCAGCGGATCGCCTCGGATCGCATCGCTGCGGATCGGATCGGATCTGCCGGGTGCCACTTGGGGGCAACATTCACTTTTTTTATTGCACCACTTTGGCAATAGGCACAAGTGTGATTTCAAATCTCTGGGTCGCCCCGGTGTTAGCTGGTTGTGTAGCCTGTAGCCTGTTGCCTGTTGCCTGTTTGCCTGTTGCCAAAGCCAAATTGGCAGAAATATGAAGTCAGCGTGTGCATTTCGGTAAAAGCGGTGATTATACACAGACACACAAACACACATACTCCCCTATATTCCTGGCTGGACAGGAGAATGGCCATTTGGGAGACGAGAAATATATGACAGCCAGAGAGTTGGCACATAATGCGCATTAGCATATGCCACTGTAGCATCCAGCCTCCCTTCCCTTCCCCTCGTTGTACTCACTGGCACTTCCCTTACCGGCATTCATCGCAAATGGGCCAAAAAGAGCGGAAAAGGCAGCAGCACAAACAGAAACAGAAATAGTAAGAGACTAAGACTGCGACTACGACTGCGACTAGGAGTACGAGTACCAGAAACAGCACTGTGGGCTGACGTTGATGGCCAGTTCAATTAAATGCCATCAATTTTAATAACGCGCCTGCCTGGGCTAACGGACTACGGACCCCAACCCGGGGCATACTCTTGGCCCGACTCCCTCGAAAGCTACAGGTGTAACTCTGTAGAGTAAACTTCCCTTTTTTGGTGATTTATGCTTTAGCTTTACCTTTGATTCATATGGAAATTGTGCTATAATAACTATAACCTGCTCTTAGAGGACTTAAAACTATTCAATAAATAGAAACTTTTTTTTTTAGAATTGATTAGCAATTTTTAAAAATTAATAAGTTATTAATAAATGACTTTTCTTAATGAAAGTTTTATTTTCAATTTAATCATATCCTTCCATCAACGCCTCTGAATTTATTAGTTTTTATTTAGAAATGGAGGATTAAATGTATATTATCTTTATATTTTATAGTTCGTATCTTAGCTCCACTGATTCAAGTTAGCCAAGTTACCCTGTAAACCGTCCGTCTGCTACCTTGGGCACTATATAACCCGGTGCTGGTGAAACAAAACGCTCGCTGGCATGGAAATTACAAATGCATCAGGCCAGGGCCCAAAACTCACATGTGTGTAGACAGTCGCAAACGCACTTGAGGCACTTGAGGCTAAGAAACCAGCGGAGCAGTGGACCCCATTCTCCTCAGCTCCGGTCGGTCGGTCGGTCGGTCGGTCAGTTCGGGCCAGGCTTGGATGGTGTGGCGGACTGGCCGCCATGTGGCCCTCGGTCATGTGGAGTTTGCAGGCTTGACAAAGCACTTAAGCCCGGGTCACTTGTTCACTGCACTCCTTTCGCCCCTTTTGGCCATTGTTTTGGGGCCCTGACAAACGAGATGTTGTTGGCCGGGCCAAGAAGAGTGAAAATTGAATGTGCTAAGCAGGCAAAAGGCAAAAAAATAAAAACAAAAAAAAAGAAGAAAAGCTTGGGGGCAACCAGAATAAAAGATAAATATCTTACGAATTAGAATACAGAGCCACATTTGTCTAACTTTGATGCACTATCTTGAGGGGGAAATAAAATCAAGACTTCTTTGAAAAATAAAATATATATTTCTAAAGGAAAAACACTATAATAATTATTATTATAACATTTTTCAAAGATTCTTACATTTGTTTTCTAGCACACATGGCTATATCGACACTGCTTTTGATGCTAATCAAGAAAATATATAATTTATAATATCAAAAATGACTCCTCAAAGCTTTGTAAACTGTTTGACCTATATTTAAATATCCTAAAAATAATTAAAACTCCTAAAGATAATCCATAAAATAAAGCAGACAACTTGCTACTGTCCCCTTAATCTATTAAGAAAAAAGTAAACAGATTCTTGACCCAACACAAGTGTAGTGGCAAACTTTGCTTTTTGTTTGCACACCGAAGCACCCTTCAGTCTGGAGGATCTGCGAGGGGCAGTAGGGGGGTTAAGAGTGGCAGCAGCAACAGCAGCAGCAGCTGCTGCAGTTTTTGCTGGCAATTGATGTTGATGTCGCGGGCGCCAAAATCGACACACTTGTCCCAGCCGAAACTGCAACTGCAACTGGCAGCCGAAAGTGGCAGTCGTCGTCTGGAGCACCGAGTACAGGTTAAATGGATCACGACTGCACGGATTCGCTGTCCGTCTGAATCTGAATCTCACTTTGACTCCAACTTGGCGTCCAAATCCACATCCACATCCCCATCCACATCAACAGCCAAGGCTCTCCTCTGTCCGCTGGTCTGAGTCGTCCGACGGCCATAAAATACGCGACATGCAAACGTTTTTGATGCAATGAGGCGGCCAAACGAAATTAGGAAATTGTGTAAAGACTCTTGGCCGACAAGCCAATGTATATTCACCGCCCCCTTAGCATTCCCTTCTGTCTTTAATTTGAATACCCTGCAGAGAGGATTTAATCATCATTTTTGGTATTTGAGATGGACATTTCTTGGGTTTTACGTAGTCTTTATTTAAAGGTATTTGTATCTTGTATCTTATAAATTGTTTATATTCAAAGATTAAAGATCATATTTTACCAGAATACAATTCATTATAGATATTTCCTATGGAACATAAAGACCAAGTCCTTGTTGTTTTCTCGACTTACTGCCAAAATTCTCTAAAAAATCAATCATTGCTAGAGTATTCCACTGTTCGTCTATTTACTTAGCTTGATTGGCTTGTTTCTGGTTGGTAGCTTCGATCAGTTAGCGGTTCATTTACGAGTCTCATTAGGCATTGCCGGCCATAAAGTCGGCCCCGCCATTTTGGCCATTTTGTGTCTAAGTATTTTGTGCATTTTGTTAACCGAATCTCAAATGGTTTTTCCCAATTTTTTCTTTCTTGCAGCGAGCACCTCGCACGGCAGCAGCAGCAGTGGCAGTGGCAGTGGCAGCTGCAAATCCTCGCCAGCAACCAACAAGGCGCTTGGACACAATCATGGCTACAGTAATGGCAAGCAAAGCGGATCATCTTCGGGCTTTGGAGCGGGCTCCTCCGCGGGCGCCGCATCGCTGGGGGCCTTTGCCAGGCTGCCCCATCACCAGCAGGCCACCCAACAGCAGCAGCAGCAACAGCTTTATGCCTCCGGCGTGTCCAAGTTGCCATTCTCGCCGTTCTTTGCGGCCTCGCCATTCTTCTTCACGTACCGAAGGATCAGTGGCAAGCAGGAGGATAACAATAATAGCTGCAGCTACAACAATGGCAGCAGCAGCGCAGGATCTGGAGCGGGGGCGGGAGCAGGATCCGGAGCAGGTGCCAGCACCATGCAGGATTACGACCGCAAGTTCTCGCTGCTGAGCCTGTTCAAGAATCCCTACAAGTTTGGCGATACGCAGACTTCGCGGAAAACCTCCCCCACTGGTGGAGGTGCATCCTCCAAGTCCCTGACCGGAGTCGCCTCCTCCTCCTCCTCGGCCAGCTGGAAGAGCTACGCGGGATCGGGCTCTCCGCATGCCGCCCTCAATCCCGCCTTCGGTGGCATGGCCCTGGGCGCCACGCGAAAGGATAGCAGCAGCTTCAGCGGGATTAACTTTGGCGGCGGTGCCTCCGCCTTTGGGCGCTCCTCCTCCTGCTCCGATTCGGCGGCCAACGGCGGCTACAATGATCTCTCCAAGAACCGCAAGGTACACAAGTGTGACACCGAAGGCTGCGACAAGGTGTACACGAAGAGTTCGCACCTCAAGGCGCACAAGCGAACGCACACAGGTGAGAGCAGCGCCAAGGGGGGACTTTTAATTAAGAATACTTTGTAGTTAATATTTGAATGGCTTGTTAACCGAACCCTGAAACGCCTCTCACCACTTGTATTCTGGTATCTGGTATTTATCCACAGGCGAGAAGCCGTACGTGTGCACGTGGGAGGGCTGCATTTGGCGCTTCGCCCGCTCCGACGAGCTGACCCGCCACTACCGGAAGCACACGGGCGTGAAGCCGTTCCGCTGCCAGCTGTGCACGCGCAGCTTCAGCCGCTCGGACCACCTGTCGCTGCACATGCGCCGCCACTGAGGATCCGGGAATCTGGAACTGGAACTGGAACTGCCAACCTGGCCATACATATGTATACACAACTCCACACATATCCGGACACAATACTCATCCGAGGAGCCCCTCGCCTCTATTTATATGCACCCGAATCACTTCCATCGATCATATTTAACGCGACCAGATATATTCCATATCGCCTAAGTAGCTCAATTTCTAATGGTAAGCGGGCTCAAAGCCCAACTTATAGCTGTAGTTATAGCCTTAGTTCTGGGCCGCGAAAGATTTGTAAAATTTTTCCCCTTCAGGGCCCAGAGAGACAATTGCCTTCAGAAGCCAAGTTAACAAAGTGGATGTTTTAAGCCTACTACTTTTAGAAATATCTATCTACATAGTTAATTATACAACATTGTACTAACAGATAGTTTTGGATTGGTGCTAGCAACTTGCGTGTACATAGCTCTAGATGAACATTTACAGCCTAGTTGGATAAGTGGAAATTTTAACTAATTTTAGATGAAATTTTTATTGGTTGTTAAGTAGAAAATTGTAAACAAAAGAGAACGGAAACTCACAAAAAGAGGCAAACAACATTAAAAACTGGAAGAGCCAAGCAAAGCAATATTTATATATATGTATCTATGTATTTATATATAGAAATTCTCTCATCTATAGGCTATTTTATACATTTTGTACTATACGCATATGATGTGACAGTTTGGTTAACTGGGGAGTTGAGTTGGCCAAAAAGGGGTTAAGCAGGACTACAAAGCTGGCCTATAAAAAAGTCTTGAATAACTTGAAACCCAAACAATCGAAAGAAATCTTATAAATAAAATATATATTTATATTTTATATTTATTGTGCCTTAATCTATATTTATCCAACAAGGTTAGAAAAACTGTCTTACAGCTCTGTAACGCACTGTATGCCCTGCCCGGCCCCATTGGCAATTTGCCTCATACCAACTGTCATCATAGATTTTAGCACACACACACACACAGACACAAAAGCAAAACAAATTGTATTATTTTTTGAGAAATAAAAGAAAAGCGAATACTTTTTTGTACCATAAGCGATGAAGCCTTGGCCGTGCTCATTACGCGTTCCCTGGCCAAAAGCCGCCTGGCCATTTTCATTTGAATGAAAAATCAATTGGCGCACAATGGGGGCTGCTGCTGCTGCGGTTAACCCACAACTGCCCCTGGGTCTGCCTCTGCCTGCCTGCTCGGAAATGTGTGGCAAGTTGTCAGCGGGTTTGCCCGCCGACTTTTGTGGCAAGGCACAAGGCACACACAAGAGGCACGCACTCACAATTGTCCAGGGGAGCATTGTCGTCGTTTGTCGTTTTGCAACCTGGCAACCTGGCAACTGGCAACGGGCAACTGCGCGTTGTTTGCAATAATAAAGATGACAAATTTCTCGTCATTTGTAATTTCAATGCGAAAAGCCGGAGCTTGGAGCAATGGAGCTTGGAACTTGGAACTGCCTTGGATCGGGGGCTGGATAATGGGGGCCCGGGAGCCCGGGAGCCCGGCTAATACGCATAACTGGTTGCGAACTGGCTAACTGCGACTGCGGATTCGATTGGATGACACCTGCAGCGGAAATCAGTGCATGAATAACGCTCTCGGTCATTAAGGCACAATTGTGAAATATTACGCATACGCCATGGCAATTTATTGGTAAATTAATAACCGAATACGAGCCAACGCCGACAGTAGCGACTACTGCTATTGCCGTCACCGCGTTTAGCATAAAGGTTAGACAAATATAATAGACCGGTTTTTTGGGTTAATTAATATGCCTTGGGTCAGGTCAATAGTGTGGCTGTTCGGCTGGCTGCGATCTTGGGAGGATGGTGGATTGTGGCTGCTGCTGCTGCCTGGCGGACTGGGGAGGTCAGGTTTAATGACCCAAACGCATATGCAAATGAGTAAAAGTAAATAAAGTGAGAAGGTGCCTTAATTAACACTGATCGACGCTATATATGCCCTGCAGCCCGAGTTGGTCAATTCCGCAAAGGCAAAGGCTAATCGAAAATATAAAATTGGGGAATTACATGGAAACATGGGAAAATTTCATTAAAATTCAAAATGAAGAGAGGTAAGTAGTCATGGGAAATTATTTATGAGTTATATAAATAAAAAGTATTTTCTATTGCAGAACATTAAATCATATTCTTTATGAAATTCATTAATTTAAAACTACCCATTAAACATAAAATAAGTAGCCATATTTCCCCATCAAATTGATAATTGAAAAGCTTATGCCATAAACGTTTGGCAGTAGTTTACGACTCATGATTCGTGATTTCATTATATCGCACATACCCCAAAGCCACCCAGTGGACAAATATCAACTGAATACATTTAGATAAGCTATGAAATCACAGCCGCTGCTCATTAAAAACCAATAAAGTCGCCTTGCGATGCAGCCAGTAAATGCTGTCCATCAATGAGAGGCTTCAGGTGATCGGTGGAGTAGGAGGAGGATTAAGCGGATGGGTTGCTCTGGGAGCGGGAACTATGTGTGGCTCCGGCTGTCGGCAGCTGTCCATCAGACAAAAAGCGCTCCAATAACCAAATCGACCGGCCAGCAATTGAAGGAGTCTTGAAAGCTGTTGGTTTTCAGTTTGCAGCTTGAATCTTTCGGTCTGTCTTGGGCTAAGCAGTGAAAAAAAATAGTTTAAAAATAGTTAAAGTTTAGATATAAGGTCTTAAAGTATATAAAAATATGTATGGTACATACTTTATTGGATATTTTAGGAAATTTATGATTTTCTAATATTAAACTATATAAGATTAAGACTCAAAACTTTGTTTCTAGTATTGGTATTTTCAATCATTTATTATTTTTAAAATATTTCACGAATATTATCTCCCTAAGAAATCCATTCTCTGATTATAATTAAATTGTAATTATTATTTAATATATTTTTTATTGAAAATTCAACCACAAACAAATTTGTTAACGTGTGCACATGGCCATCGACATCCATTTTTAATTTATTGTTATGCCTTTCTGCTGCCTTTTGGCTGCTGCAGTTGCAGTTGCAGAAGGAGCTGGAGCGTGGATGTGGCAGTGAATGTGGAGATAGAGATGGAGCAGAGCAGAGCTCGGGGTTTTATGGACTTTTTGGAGCTGCTGGTCGCCAGGTCATGTGCAATTTATGAAACGGCTTTGCATTGGCCGCGGCCTGATTTTTGAGACACATTTGGATGACTGTCGCAACGGCGGCAACTGCGGGCTGGCTGTTGCTGCCGCTGCTGCTGCTGCTGCTGAGGTTGCCGCTTCTGTCCGTTTGATTTGTGATCGATTGTGTGTCGTTAGTTTGCGACATGGGGCATGAAATCTTTGACACCTAACGGTAAACGAACGGGCCGCAAGACCTCGGATCACAGCAGTGGGTGCCCCCCCGTCTTCGGGAAGCCCCTCTGGAGACGGAGACGGAGTCGGCATTAAATTGGAACGATGATGCCGGGGCAGCAGCGCAGTTGTCAGTTGGCCAAAGTGTTTGGCAGTTTTGCCATTTATTTTACAGGTGAGTGAGCATAATGGACAGTTTGCCGTCGCAGTTGCAACGCGGCTGCCACGTTGCCTCGCTGCTCCCGAGGTACATGCTGTGCGCTTGGCTCTGGCTCAATTAAAAATGGAATCGTCCGGAGGAGGTCGCCTCATTTGACAATTGCCGGGTCCCAAATACAGGCAAGCCGCCTGTCTTCGCTCGGCTCTTAACCCCCCTTTTCCCGGCCTGGCCCAGCCCGGCCATGTTTAATTTTGTTAAACAAAAATGCTGGAAATTAAAATTCCCATCACACCATAAAACCCATAAATCATCTTTTATCTAAGCGAGTCTATCGGCGCATGTGAGCGCGCGCCAACTTCGGTTCGGGTTCGTGGTTCGAGTTTGGTGGAGCCAAGAAAACAAAAAAAAAAAAGATCAAGAGAAAAGAGCTGGAGGAGATGCTGCCTGGACGCCTGGATTGGGAACCTGCTCCGGCCTCTCCTGCCTTAATGAGAATTTAATATTTTTCAATAAAAATTTGTAAAAGGCGCGTTAGCTGCTTGTCCGGAGTCGGAGTCAGAGTCATAGTCGGCGTCGGGACTCCTCTCACCGGAGTGGGAGGAGGCGGTGCACATTTGCCATGTGTGTCTTGGCTATTAACGCACTTTTGTTTCTGGCCAACGGGCATTGGCCATGGCCTGACTGGCTGCTTCGATCGTGAAGCTGCGGCGGGCAGAGGCGTCGACAGATCAAAGGGGGCACACAGGTGGTTCCAAACTACTTTTATTAGGCTGTTTGAATGTTGTTCTAATTGCGGTTATTAACATTTATTATTTATTTTATTTGTAGAGAAAGGGGTTTATAATTAAAAAAATAAAAAATTATAAGGCCAAGAACTACTTTTTGTTTGTATTTTACTTTAATTTATTTATCTTTATATGATGTTAGTGGCAGGAAATGCTAATAAAGTAAATATAAAAGTTTATAAATCATTAAAATGTGGTTTTTATTATTTTAAGTAAATAGAATTTTAAAGCAACTTGTAGTATTTAATTAGTATAATTATCTTTAATCTCTGTTGTTGAACTTTCATTTCATTTCAGTTCAACCCTTTTTATTTCCCAGAGACCTGCCCCTGTTTTATAACTTGTTTCCCCTTTGTTTGTTTTGCTTATTGCGTGGACTTGACTTTTGTTTTTTGTATCCTTGCCCCCAGACAAGGCCCAGATTGTGTCGCAGATCCTAGATCTACGCTGTGTGAACCTCTTTCCAGGCAGTACCACTACTGGGCCTTAAGGGCACACATTGCATACGAAATTGGCGAGTGAAGTTTGTGGTACAAGTAACTGGTAAAAACCTGCAGAAAGGGAGCCTCGATGCAGAGCGGTGGGGACTCGGCCAAGAGTGTCAATTGTCAGTTCGGTCGGTGGCTGTCGCCGTTTAGCCGTCGTCTTGGCTGGGTCGAGTAGTACCTGGGCCTGGTCAAGCAAGTGGGCCTAGAAAACCCAGCCCATCGTTGGCGGCGCGTGCAGACGGTGAGCCTGTTTTAATATGCCAACAATGACAATCAACTGTCACCTCTGGTGCGCCATGTGTCTAGACTCAGCGACGGCGACCGCGGGCCAAAAGAAATTGCATGCGGCCCGAGCGATGATTGCAACTGCAACATCTATGTAGGTACCTGCAGCAACAACAAATAAATATGTCATTTGGCTCATTATAAAGATAGCAAAAGTCTTTCTCTCTCTTTCTCTCTGTCTCCCCTGACCAAGAACTTAGCTTGCAACTAGCAACTTGCAACGTGCGACGTGCCGCGTGCAGCATGCCCCCAGAGCTGCTGCTGCGCTGCGGCCACTGATGCTGCGTCACATTTAAACGTTTAATGATAATTTATGAATGTTGTTGTTTTTTATTGCAACAACAATGCCGTAAACCAATAAATCTTAAGGATCACATAAATCTTGGCGCTAACTGAGACGGCGACTGCAGCGCCAGCAGCCGCGGTAGCCGCAACTTCAACTCCAACTTTAACCGCAACGTCCGCAAAACAGAGCAACTTCCCCACTCACTCACAACTTGCCACAAGTCGACTCAAGATCCAAGATCCAAGATCCGAGATCCATTGACCAATTGGCCAAAGCTTATAGTGGTAATACCCTAAGAACCGAAACGCACTGGCAATTAGTAAGGTCTTCAGGAAGTAAAAGTCCAGGGCGGACGTACGGTTCCTGCCGCAAGCCAAAAGGTGCAGGTTACGATGCCTGGTAATTTGATATTAACAGGTGCAAATGGTTAAAGGGTAAGGTGAGAACTTAAGTTAACTTGGGATGATTATAAACTTTAAATTATAGTGCAAAAGGATATGGCTATAGGATAAGCTGTGAAAGTCTTTTTAAGGATATATGGCAAGGTTATGGTCATAAAATTTTAATGAGAACAGTTGGTTTACAAGTGTTTTAAAAGCTGATAAAGAGTGGAAAAAGTTGTTAAATAATTTTAAAATATG